TCTTGGAGTAAGCGGATTGCGATCCGCTAAACTCGTAATTGTTCTGAGTATAGAACGAGAGGTCGATGACCCAACTTACGCTTCCTCAAAGCGCAAAGCTACGGCAGCCTCGCTGCAAAGGATCATGCATTATAATATTCACTTCGCTTTTTCCATTTTCTATACAATATTGTAAAGCACTTCATGCGGAGCGCATGGCTGTGTCCCTGGAAAAAAGTATAAGCGGCCTTATCTGCACCTATTTGTCTTGAGAACAAATAGCAATTTTTCCCGGATTGTAAGCTATAAGAAATCGCTATACATAGATAAACTAAATCATTCATAGTCCCACGACTCGTGCTTATTGCCCACTTTTGTGACGGCCACCAAAATATGCTCCATCGAAGAAAATAATTATACCGACATGGCATTTTTGCTCCAGTACATTAGAACGCCAAAATTAGTCGCGGGCCTAGGTGTTATTGACATCATTGTGCGTGTAAGTCATACAACCTAGATCATTACAAAGCAATGCCCAGATATTCAAAAGTCAATAGAAAAAGCAAACTTTCTTTAGGTTAGAGAATGTGGGGCTGGAAAATTTGCATAGCCCATATCGTCTAATTGATGGCAGCAAAACTGCCTTTAGATATCCATTCACTGATGTTGGCACAGGAATGCGCCTGAGATATCCAGCTACGCTATGGCGTATTATCACATATGGTACGTATTTGGTGAGTATGTTCTGCCTGATTACGTGCACAGAGAGGCTTCAAGCGAGCTTTTATGGGGATGAGAGGCGTTGCCCGACAAAAACTGATCTGGCTGTGAAAATGCATATCCAGCGATGATAGTAGTGAAAATGAGAAAAAATTGACTGAAATGGCATTAGAGGAAAGGCAGTAGATTCAAGATGAAAGCGGGATAAATGATGGCACGTCACTGAGAGACGATACGGCTCTATTTTATTTCTTGCAAAACAATAGAGGATAGAGTACCGCCTCCGTTTCATCACGTTATTAGTTACTGACATTGTTGGATATGTTGTAGCCCTCAGTAATGTAGTACACTAAACAGTTTGGTGTTCGAGCTCATCACATGGCATCACATACAGCAGTATACAGAGTTAGGGAGCACAGCGGAGTTGGCCTAGATTCCGTAATTGGTGAGTTAAGCTTAAATTTCTGTGAGAAGTATACGCCCGCTTCCTCTGAGGTCATCACGATGCTCATTTTAAAAGCAAGCAGATAATAAGATGAAGAAAGAGAAGCTTCATGAAGCGGCATCGCTAAGATGACGTTTGATAGAGTAAACAATAGTTAGAAAATCCTGAGCTAATTTATCCTGCCCAAAATATAAATATTATCAAATTATCCTACGTAAAGGGTAGTAGCATTTGGCTCTATTGATGACAAGTGACGAATCTGTGACAGTGGTCCCGCCTTACGTGCTTTGTAGCGTCATCATCATTCTTCATAGGGCACCTACAGATCATTTCTATAGTACCATCTCTTCTACCAACTTTCATTAAATACAATCTCAGTTACTTCAGATTCTTTGCATGATGCAAAGCTGCGGCTTTGATTCCTAGCTCAACTTTCTGAATTCTGGATAGGACTATCAATTGTCTGCCAGAAATGAAAACAGAGTGCAATACAGCATCCACCAGAAATTTATGCCTTATGTCGACGATCGATGGCTACGTAATGTATTTCTTACAAGTCTAATTGGCAAAAAAACCAAACGGGCACCACATCAAATTCGTCCGTGCCGCCTGCTACCTTCTTTACAAAAACATCTCTTTTGAACGAACGTAATGGAAAAATTAATTGCTCCCTTCATGATGCAATAGAAAGAAGAACGATCAACGTGACTTCTTTGGTCATCATCTGTCAAACTATAGCCAGAATGATTTGTTTCAAATAGGTGCCAATGTCAAAATTAGCTGAAGCCCCCACTAAGAAGTTGAATGCCTATTGTAACTGGAGCCTATATTAATCCCCCAAAAATCAGCATCGGGTAGATCGTACAAGCTTCCGTTGTCTGTCTAACGCGCTGTCTAAAGGTTTCTGAGATTCTAAAAGGCGACTACTGATGTGGCACTTCTGTTGGCCGTATCATGCGATTCATAAGCTCTAGCATTCAAACTTCGGACTTCGTCACAGATTGACATTGCTTTCACCTGATGGCTAATTTCAGAGAGAATGGAATGTCTCACGCTTTGTAGTACATGTAGACAGCATACACATATACAGTTGACTTGATACACTCTAGATATATCTCACTCTAAAAATTTAAGAGCAGAGCTAAGTATTGAATAAACTGAGTGGCTCTTGGTTTCGCTCCTGGGCTAAGCGGACGAAGCCCATCTTTTGTAACGGAGTTTCACGTGCTAGTATTTATACATTTATCATATATAGATAGCAAAACCTATAGGTTTTGATATAGGCGGCTTTGCCGCAAATCAAACCGAGAAATACAATTTACAGTTTGAACGGAAGAGATAATTAGCCTCGAGTTGAGGTTGTCTTCAATCTTGGAGTGAGCGGATTGCGATCCGCTACACTCGTACTGGTTCCAAGTATAAAACGAAAGTCTCCGACCTTGACCAAGCTTCCTCTAAGCGAAAGAGCTAAGGCAGCCCCGCTGCACTTAGTAACACTTGTAGTCAATCTACACCTAAGTCGTTACGACTGAAAGCAGCGGAGCTGCCGTAACTCTAAGGTCACCGGCGTTACGTTCGTTACAAGAACCAGTTCGACTGTAGCGGATCGCAATCCGAAACCTCCAAGAGTACTTAAAACCTTAACCAATGTAAAGACGCTCCGAAGTTCAAAATTAAAATGTATATAATTGTTTGAGTTGCGGCAGAGCCGCCAATATCTAAAACCTTACGTTTCCCTAATAAATATAGTAAAACCTCATTAATATGCATAACGACTGGCAGTCCCACGTAGTGGTGTCTTGTTACGGTGTAGCCACACCATTGTGTGATTGCACCAACTTGCGTAATCTGCACTTACGTGCAGTCATGTGACCCGCCCTTTTATACAAGGGTACGTGTAACCCCAGAACACTCTCACCCGTCAAAATTATGAATACCCACAGTTTGCATTAAACTGTCGCCTCGTACGAGGCTCGCGTGTCCGAGACACTGTTCTGTCCTTAAGAACATCTCCGCTCAACGAGCCCTGTGTCTATGGCACGAAAAACACTCAGTCCAGCTGGTTCCGAGGGCGCCCGCGGGCAAAGCTCATTATTTTCTTCTGTTCGAGGTGCATCTATGGACAGTACGTCCGCACCTTCACGGGATGCTCATCCCAATGAGT